CTCTTGATATTTCAAATTTTTTTTCATACATTTGTGTGCTCTTGGTAATTTGAAGCAAGATCAGTGCCGTTAAACCAAATCACGCGATCATTCGAATTAATTGATGTAAATTTTCTACAAGTTTAAACTTCCAACGGCAAAAAATGTATTAAGGGGAGGGTAAGGTATTAAATTTTTTTTTTTTTCATTTTTTTTTTATTTTTTGAATTGAATGCATAATATCTGAAGAATATTGTGTCAAAATTTCAAGTCAATTAAAGCAAAATTGAAGTTATTAGCTATTGACGAAGTTGCTTATAAAGGTTTTACACTAGATTTTTTTGTGTTTAAAACTTTAAAGCGTTTTTCCCACAACTCACGTTTTCAAAGTCGGTGCCCCTCATAACTTCAAAACTACTGCACCGATCCCTTTGAAATTTTAAACACTATTTCTGTACATATTTTACGAGGTAACGCTGTCGAGTTTTTTTTTTTTGTTCATAATTTTGATTTTGCAATGTCAAATTAACCGATATTTTCCCAAAAAATTAAGTTTTTCACTTCAAAGTCTTCGAAAAAATTAAAAAATTGCAATTTTCAAAAAACCTTTACAGCGTTACCTGGGGCGAACTATTATCTAACGAATGAATTTTCAGTTTTTGATTAAAAATGATCCAGCACCGAGTTATGAGGGGCACCGCAATTCAACATTTTTTGGCGACACGTCCGGACAATTGCTACCATTGCCATATTTTAAAATATTTTGTTGTAAAAATTTTATTAACCCTTTACATGGTGGTGATGCAGATCTGCATCATACCGTTTAAATTCAATTATTTATCAAACTGCTTTACGAAACTGTCCAAAATCTTTTTGATGCAGTTCAGCAACTTTCGTTTTTTATATAAAAAGTGTTGATCACTCAGAATTCTGTCCAATGCTCAACAGGTGATTACTTTTCCAACCAATTTGGTGAATGTGGTAATCTGAATTGGTTGTGCAGTTTCTGATCCAAAATATAAAAAACAAAAAAAAATTGTATAATTGATTCAATTAATGTTTAAAAACAGGAAAATATTATATTTAGTTGTATATTATTGAGTTTTTGTGTTTGTTGCATTATAATACAATTAAATCATTAATTTCGCTAAGTTTAAAAAATCGCTTTTTTTTGCTTTTTGTAAAAAAAAATTAAGAAAAACCAATTTAAAAAAAAAAATAAAAAGAAGTGTATTTTTTATTTTTACTTATCTACCGAACAAAAAAAAAATCAAGAAAATCGGAGTTATTGCCATGTAAAGGGTTAAACATTCTTCTAATGTCACACTTTAATATACCGTTGGTTGAATAAATAAATTTTAACTGTGTCGTCAGGAAAAAAATCACAAAAACATGGCTTTTTTCGCACGATTTGACCTTACCCTCCCCTTAAGAAGTGGTCCAATCATTTTATTATGTTCAAATAAGTGGTGCCCAGGGGTGCCCAAGCTCAGCATACGGCAGAGAAAACTCCAATACCAATGCAAAATATCACCAATACATTGGAGCGAGAAATTTTTTTTGCAAGTCATGTATACGGTATACTGAAAAATATTATAGTTCCATTTTCATTGGAAACAAAGTAATAAAAAAAATATTTAAAATTAAAAAATGTAATAAAATTTTAAATAAAAGAAATTCATAGCTCCTGATGTCAACCATTTTGTTTGAGATCTCAACCAAAAGTGATTTTTTGCCGTGAAAAGTTTTCGGCAATACAAACACGAAGTGCCTTCGAAAAACTGAGAGACTATACTATTGTTGTTTCTTAACTCGGCAACGGAAGCAAAGAACGAAGAGCGTAGGAAAAAACGAAAAATGGTTTTTGTATACACGTATATGAAATTTTATTTCCCATATGAAAGAGCAATTCCGACAACAAAACAAGTAAGGAAAGCTAACTTCGGGCGGAGCCGAAGTTGATATACCCTTGCAGTTAAAACCGGATATATATTGCAAACATCGGATATAGTTGGCCGATCCTTATGAGAATATGATAATATAACCCAATTTGTTATAATACAAAATTTAAAACAAGTCCCAAACTTCTATCTTTAACAATACCAAAGTTGGTATTTCTACCAAAAACCATTTCCGATCGTTCAGTTATATGGCAGCTATAGGATATAGTCGGCCGATCCTAATGAAATTTGGTAGGTTGGATCAACTGATCAAAAATAGAATCTGTACTAAGTTCTATCTTCAAAAACACGAAAGTTGGGTCATTTTCGATTGTTCAATTATATGGCAGCTATAGGATATAGTCGGCAAAGTTTCAAGACAGACGGACAGACAGACGGACAGACGGACATGCTTATATCAACTCAGGAGGTGATCCTGATCAAGAATATATATACTTTATAGGGTCGGAGATGTCTCCTTCACTGCGTTGCACACTTTTGACCAAAATTATAATACCCTCTGCAAGGGTATAAAAACACCGAGAGCAATGGGGCTTGGGCACCCCTGTTGTAAATCATTCAGTGGACTAAAATTGTTTCATAACTTTATCGTTTATCAATCGTTATTGAGTTATTGACAGAAAATAAAAAAATCTACAAAATTACTTTTGTCTTGCTCTAAGGGACAATTTGTAGGCCATGCTACAACTTTGCCACCTTACAACCTTTCAGTAAAACAAAAAGTTAGTTGCCGAGCATGATAAAAAATATAATTTTCTCTGTTTCTGATCTGTTTTCTGATCCAAAACAGAGCAGTAGCGGGAGCAAAGAATATTTTTACTTAAATTGCTGCTATGTAGCAGAAAATGCAAACGCTGATGCTACCAATATCATTTTTACGGGTTATGGTGCGATAAATGAAAACTTTATTCCCATTTATCTGTTTGAGCTCACAAACAATCTCTGGTTGTGACTTTCCAGCTAAATACAATGCAATTACACTATTACGTTTGAATTCCATAGCGAATATTTTATTTTCGTTTTTAAAGCTAGCGACTTAAGGGGTTATATACAGTTGTAATAGATGTAAAATCGTTTTTTTTTATGGCATATTCTTTAAGTATATACTGTTGAGAATACTGTTGTACGATGAATACGATGTTGTAGCTATTTATAGCGCACTACCTGCACATAAAACTTGAAAAAACTTGAAACTTTAAACGCGATTATCTCAGAATCTTGTTTTTTTTCGAAATTACCTTTGCGGTGGACACGATTACTAAAAAACTATTAATCCGATCGTTCCAATTTGACGACTTGTTTATTATAATATTAGCTAGTCCGTGAGCGAAGGATTTTCCATTTTTTTTAAAACTCCTTTTTTAGAGCATAAAAATTGAAAATCTTATACCTTGAAAAAGTACATTTTTTGTTAAAACCGTCAACATTTTTTTTTAATCCAAATTTTTACAAATCTTTCGTTCACGGACTAGGCAATACAATATACTAACGAAATATTTTTGAATTTTTGATTTCGGATGAACCGTTCTCGGGATATGATGTTCACCGCAAGACACCATCGAAAAAAGACGATCTTGGAATTCGGCTATAACATAATTATTATTTAATATTTTTTTTTATGAAAAAAATTAAAATAAGTACCCAAAAACACGTACTATACCTACAACGTCGGTAAAACATTTTTAATAAATATTTTCTATAGTGTCAAAAAAAATCGATCAAATTTCATTATTTTGCGCGGTACAACTTTATATAACCCTTTAAAACTGTGCACCCTCTTTCTTTTGCACCCTTTTATTCTAAAAGTGGGCACACTCTTTTTTTAGCACAGTATATTTGGGTGTGAATGAGTAGTGTAGTATTTTTTGTTTTATTTGACAGTTTTCTCACTCATTCCATAGTTGTACAGCTGTTAATGAGTACAGGTAAATTGGTGTGCCGTAGTCAACTCACTGTACAGTGTTTTGGTGTTCAGTTGACTTATGGAACAGTGAGAGAAACTTCATGACTGGAACATACACACAAAATCTTAGTACAGATTCCAATTTTGGTCAGTTGATCCAACCTACCAAATTTCATTAGGGTCGGCCTACTATATCCCATAGCTGCCATATAGCTGAACGATCGGAAATGGTATTTGGTAGAAATATCAACTTTCGTATTTTTGAAGATAGAAGCTTGGGACTTTTTTTTTTTAGAATTTTTATTTTAATTAATTGGTTTTATTATGATGTAATCATAAGGATCGGCCAACTATATCCGATGTTTGCGATGTATATCCGGTTGTAAGTGCAAGGGTATATCAACTTCGGCTCCGCCCGAAGTTACCTTTTCTTTCTTGTTTTAGATATTTTATTGTAATTAATTGGTTTTATATTGACATTCTCATAAGGATCACCCACCTATATCCGATGTATATCACCGATAAATGTATCAGGTTTTAACTGCAAGGGTATATCAACTTCGGTTCCGCCCGAAGTTAGCTTTTCTTTAATTTTTTCTGGAAATTTAACAGCTCTTACAGTGGCTTAGTTTGTTAACTTTTTTGATATTAACCATTGAACCATGTTATCTTAAGCTAATGACGTCATTAGATCCTTATTTTAAGGACTTTTAAAAAAATGACAGTTACAAAAAATGGTTGTTGGGCCCCATAGTGAAGCTTATATACTGCGAGAAAAGAAGGATGTGTGCAAATTTTGAACTTGAAAGCTTTCTAATAGAGACTAGTTTGCATAAATGTTCCCGCAGACAGACAGATGGACATGCTTAAATCGACTAATGAGTTGACTCGATCTCGGATAGTTTGATAAAAAGGGTGGTCAACGCATTTACAAAGACCACTTAATTCAAGAAGTTATTGAATTTTCTTCTTAAGTTTCTTAGTCCATTCATGGGGTCTCCCATGAATTTATTTTATTGTATTTTTATTTTAAATTAAAAATTAATCTGCTTTCACAAACTAAACCAAAATAAAAATATATACAACTCTTACTCCTTGACCTCTTTTCAGATTTTAAAATATGGCACACCGGCTTATTAATAATTTTAATATAAAATATACAAAAAATAATAAAAAAGAATAAACCGAATAATATTTAATTTATAATCGTAATGCCCGAACAGCTAAAGGAGCTGCATTTTACAGTCTCCTGGACCCATTCACAGTCGCAGTCACAGATCCAGTTTAATACCAAATCCCTGAAAAAAAAACCAGAAGCTCAGTATGTCAATCCATGTTGTAGCTTTTTGCGTTATAACAATAGCGTAACGTTAAAAAAAGAACTTGTAGATGTACCTATTTTTCAAAAACATCTGTTTGAACATCAGCAGATCCATAGGGATAAGATATACAACGCGTGTCCCCACAATATTAAATTATTCGTTCCAGCACCTATGGCGAGTAGTCGAAATCAAGTCCCAAAAGCTTCAAATAATCAACAACCAGCTATGCATAGAAAGTCGAAGAGTAAAAGCAAGTTCAAAGATTTTAGGACGCTTTCCCTTAAACAGTCACATGAAGACATTGAAAATACTGCGGATCACACATTGTCCCTAGAAAAAGTAAAAGATTTATGTGCAGTAGCATCAGTGAAAATAGGCTTCAATACATCAAAGCATTTTCCGGAAATAAAAAAAGCTAAAAGGGACCCACTCTATAAGAAAAGCAGACAATTAAGCCACAACAATAAGTATTCTGCTTCTAAGTCTTCAGTTATTCGGTATAAAATGTTAATTCCATTGCCTACATTGGGTGCGACATCATTCGTAACTCTGCTCGCATTAATTTGTATGGAAACTATCTTGCTGTCCACCATGTCCAGCTGCGCTAAAACTTTTTATATGCATTGGAACACTTCAAATAGCATGTAAGTATACAAAGCTAGCATGTACGGGCAAAAGCACACACTATTTTATCTTTTAGCTGTGTTTCAAATAAATAAATTACATTAAGGGGTTATATACAGTTGTGATAGATGAAAAAATCGATTTTTTTATTGCATGTTCTTTAAGTATATTGTTGAGAATACTCTCACAAAAATTCATAACGATCGGAGCATTAGAACCGATGTTGAAGCTATTTATAGCGCACTACCTGCATATAAAACTTGAACGAACTTGAAACTTTAAACGCGATTATCTCAGAATCTTGATTTTTCGAAATTACCTTTGCGGTGGACACGATTACAAAAAAACTATAAATCCGATCAATACCAAATTTAGACCACTTATTTATTGTGATAATAGCTACATAGTCCGTGAACGAAGGACTTTCAATTTTTTTGAAAACCTTTTTTTTAGAGCATAAAAATCGAAAATCTTATACCTTGAAAAAGTACATTTTTTGTTAAAACCGTCGCCATTTTTTTTAATCAAAAATTTTACAAATCCTTCGTTCACGGACTAGGCAATACAATATAGTAACGAAATATTTTTGAATTTTTGATTTCGGATGAACCGTTCTTGGGATATGATGTCCACCGCAAGACACCATCGAAAAAAGACGATCTTGGAATTCGTCTTTCGAAAAAGACGATCTATAACATAATTATTATTTAATATTTTTTTTATGAAAAAAATTTAAATAGGTCCCCAGAAACGTGTACTATACCTACAACGTCGGTAAAACATTTTTAATAAATATTTTCTATGGTGTCAAAAAGAAATCCATAAAATTTAATTTTTTTGCGCAGAACAACTGTATATAACCTGTATATATATAATTTATAAAAATAAATAAGTACCATGATAGTACCGATAAGTACCGATACTTTAAAGGTGATAACAATTTTTTTTCCATAATAAATGTGCAATGTATTTTTTGTAAACCTTTTTTTTTTACACTTTTTATACCCTTGCAGAGGGTATACCTTTATTTTAATGCTATCGACTTTAAACTTTGCACACACCCTTTTTTCCTTTTTACGCAGTATATCAGTCGGAGCGGCCGATATCGACCATATAACTGATTGATTCGAAATGCTATAACATTGGTGTTTTTAAAGTTAGAGAGTTCGGATTTGGTTCGGACGACCCACCAAATTTCATAAGAATGAAATATACTATATTATACCGACTATATCCTACAGCTGCCATATAACTCAAAAATCGGAAATGACGCAACGTGTTTTCGTGTTTTTGAAGACAGAAAGTTGAAACTTCGTACAGATTCTATTTTGGATCAGTTGATCCCACCTACCAAATTTCACAACGATCGGCCGACTATATCTTATAGCTCCAAGTTAACTGAATGATCGGAAATGGTATTTGAAAAAATAACAACTTTGTTGTTCTTGAAAATAGAAGCAAAGATTATAAAGTACATAGATGGGATATAAGGGCCCAAAACGGTCAACTTTTTTCGTCGAGCTTGTTGGTGAGGGGGGAACGCACATGCATACGATTCCATTTTTAGAACTCTTTACATGTATCTGTCAACAAAAATGTGAGCCTTCGTGTGTACACTGTCGCTCAACTGAATAAATTCACATAAATCCGCTTGCATTTTCAAGATTTGTTTATCACATATTGATCGTAGCCATGTTTTTAAATACATTTAAACTTAAAATGTGTATTAATCAGTGTGTGCTAGTAAAGAACCGTTTGCTAATTACCATTTCTTTACATATTCTGTTTTGCTATTGCTTCCGCTAATTTCTGTGCAATTTTTTGGTTCATCTGAATAGGTTCAGCTGAAAGATTTTTAGTTTGCAATTAAACTTGGCGGCTTAGTGACACATTTTTTATGCAAATTTTTAAATTCAAATATTTTCTTTAAATTAATTGAAAAATGGGACAATTATCCGAGTTTAAAAGAGGCCAAATTGAAACCTATCGTGAAAGTAGTCTTAGCCATCGCAAAATCGTTCAAAAAATTGGACAAAGCCAAACTTTTGTGAGTAATTTTTTTTAGAAACAAATCAGAATATGGTAAAAATATGAAAAGCGGTGTTAAATACGCCACCTCTGCGGCAGACAGGAGGCATATTGTGCGACCTGCGTCCAATTCCCATCTCTCAGCACCCAAAATTAAAGTAATTTGCGGTGTTAAAGCCAGTGTGTCAACAGTTAACAGAGTGATTTTTTCGGGTAATCATTTAGAGCGAATGGCAAAAAGTGTTTTTTTCCGACGAAAAAAAAATTAATTTGGACGTCCCCGATGAATAAAGTTATTACTATCATGATCTTCGAAAGGAAAAGCATTTCCTGAGCCATCGCCATAGCTGTGGAGGAGGCGTAATGGTTTGGAGGTCGGTATCAGTCTGGCACTTGCGACCTGCAATTTGTTACTTCCAAAATGAGCGCAGAAACTTAAAAATCTATAATACAGAATGCGTTTCCTTATTACTCCAACATTTTTCACGTTATTAAATGAAATTACTAGCAAGATAACGCTCCTATTATACAGCTAGGGTGGTAGAATATTGGATTAAGGAGACTTGCTTAATATTGGAGACTTGCTCGAATGGCCCCCCTAAATGAAAAACCTATGGGGGTTGCTATCGCGTATGGAATATGAAGGGGGCAGGCAATTTGATAGCAAAACAACTTTAGTTGCTTCAATTAAAACGGCCTGGACAACAATTTTGCTGCAAATACTGAAAAATTTGTATAGCTCGCTTTCCGATCGTTTATATAAAGTTATATTGAAAAACGGCGGATTCACTCATTATTAAACTTATTAAAAATTACATTAGGAATGTACTTAAGTATAAGCACTAACCATACAGCATATAGACAACCCATTTCATACAACGAAAATGGACGCAAAAATTTCTTGCGACAGGCCCCAGCAGGCCCCAGAGCGGATTTCTTACGCTCTCTTACGCTCATGGTTCGTTCATCTTACGCTCATTCTCTCATTAAATGTTTTCTGTTTCTCAGTCTCTAAACGGAGCGCGATGAAGAAGGTTGGCCTGCGCTTGGTTGATCTTCGTATGTATGCGTGTCACACATTCACATACATGGGTGTATGTGTGCGTGCGATTTCGTTTCGAAGCCAGCGCACAAAATTTTGATTTTTCTTACTTTTCAGGCTTGCTACCCTAACAAAATTCGGGTATTCGTTATTTGATGAAATGACGAAAGAAATTATATTATTTTTTATATTCTATTTTTTATTATTTCAGCATACATTTTTAATTTATTTAGGAATAAGATTGAGTGTTAGTAGTAAAATGTTTTCTGTATATATATTTTTACGAATCATTAAAAATATATATACTGAGAATATGTCAGAGTATATTTCAGTCGGAGTCACTTAAAACGCCGATTGCTTTTAAGTTTTTGTTGTTTTGCAAGAGGCTTGTGCATGCCTACTCTAACGATGGAATGATTTTTAGGGGAGGGTGAAGAACCGAAAACAGCTCATGGACTTGTTTACCTTTTTTGTTTACAATTTTTCAGGCACTTGTTATTATTTTGGGTTATTGTGAGATTTAATTAAATTATTGTCGTTAATTTAATAATTTCCTTATATATTTTGGAACTTTAAAAAGTCGCCGCTCGAATTTGTTTAAGTGACTCCGACCGAAATATACTCTGACATATTCTCAGTATATTGATTTTTAATGATTCGTAAAAATATATATACAGAAAACATTTTACTACTAACACTCAATCTTATTCCTAAATAAATTAAAAATGTATGCTGAAATAATAAAAATAGAATATAAAAAATAATATAATTTCTTTCGTCATTTCATCAAATAACGAATACCCGAATTTTGTTAGGGTAGCAAGCCTGAAAAGTAAGAAAAATCAAAATTTTGTGCGCTGGCTTCGAAACGAAATCGCACGCACACATACACCCATGTATGTGAATGTGTGACACGCATACATACGAAGATCAACCAAGCGCAGGCCAACCTTCTTCATCGCGCTCCGTTTAGAGACTGAGAAACAGAAAACATTTAATGAGAGAATGAGCGTAAGATGAACGAACCATGAGCGTATGAGAGCGTAAGAAATCCGCTCTGGGGCCTGCTGGGGCCTGTCGCAAGAAATTTTTGCGTCCATTTTCGTTGTATGAAATGGGTTGTCTATATGCTGTATGGTTAGTGGTATAAGCCAAGAGCCAAAAATTTGAAAATGTCTTAAGGGGTTATATACAGTTGTACCGCGCAAAAATATGGATTTTTATCGATTTTTTTTTGACACCATAGAAAATATTTATGAAAAATGTTTTACCGACGTTGTTTAGTACATGTTTCTGGGTACTTAATTAAATTTTTTCATAAAAAAATATTACATAACAAAACTGTTATAGCCGAATCCCCGGATCGTCTTTTTTCGATGGTGTCTTGCGGTGGACAAGATCTCTCGAAAACGGTTCATCCGAAATCCAAAATTCAAAAAAGTTTAGTTAGTACATTGTATTGTCTAGTCCGTAAACGAGAAATTTTTAAAAATTTTGATTAAAAAAAAAATGGCTACGTTTTTAACAAAAAATGTACTTATTCAACGTATAAGATTTTCGTTTTTTGTGCTTTAAAAAAGGAGTGCTTTTAAAAAGGAGTAACCCCTTAAGTTATTTAAATAATTTGCATTTTTTTAGACTGAACCTATTCAGATGAACGAAAAAAAATCATTGATTTTGTTAAGCTTTCAGAAGAAAAAATAAAAAAGGAATAAATAAAATGTTTTTGAAAAAAACTTCTTCAGATTTTAATTTTAATGTGATTTAAGAATTAAAGAAAAAAAAAATTATGTAAATCGAAAAACTGGATATTATAAGATAAACGGGTTATTAAGATAAAAAATTATAGATAAATTTCTGCCATGATCTCATGAACCTATTCAGTTGAGCGGCAGTGTATGTGTGACTGCTCGCACGACGTCGTATGAATGTTTTGGCTTCCAAATTTCAATTTCTCGTTTCTGTGTTCAATGCGCCGATATGTTAGTAAGTAGAACAAATAGTATTTTTAATCGCTGTAGATCTTGACATGGTGGTAAAGTAACGCATAGAGTAGTTATTCAATTTATAATTTTTATACCCTTGCAGAGGGTATTATAATTTTGTCCAAAAGTGTGCAACGCAGTGAAGGAGACATCTCCGACCCTATAAAGTATATATATTCTTGATCAGGATCACCTCCTGAGTTGATATGAGCATGTCCGTCTGTCCGTCTGTCTGTTTCTACGCAAACTAGTCTCTCAGTTTTAAAGCTATCGTCTTGAAACTTTGCACACACCCTTCTTTCCTTTGCACGCAGTATATAAGTCGGAACGGCCGGGATCGGCCGACTATATCCTATAGCTGCCATATAACTGATTGATCGGAAATGGTATAACTTTGGTGTTTTTAGAGTTAGAGAATTCAAATTTGACATGAGAGCTATTTTTGGCAAAATAATACGACATGCCAAATTTCATAAGGATCGGCCCACTATATCTTATAGCTGCCATATAACTGAACGATCGGAAATGACGCAACTTTTGTGTTTTTGAAGATAGAAAGCTGGAACTTGGTACAGATTATATTTTTGGTCAGTTAATCCGACCTACAAAATTTCATTAGGATCGGCCGACTATATCCTATAGCTGCCATATAACTGAACGATCGGAAATGACCCAACTTTCGTATTTTTGAAGATAGAAAGCTGGCACTTGGTACACATTCTATTTTTGGTCAGTCAATCCGGTCTACGAAATTTCATAACGATCGGTTTACTATATCTTATAGCTGACATATAACTGAACGATCGGAAATGGTATTTGGTACCATAGAAGCTTGGGACTTTTTTTTAGATTTTTTATTGTAATTAATTGGTTTTATTATGATGTAATCATAAGGATCGGCCAACTATATCCGCCCTAACTTAGGGCGGAGCCGAAGTTGATATACCCTTGCAGGTAAAACCGGATATATATCGCAAACATCGGAATATTAATATATAATCCAATTTATTACAATACAAAATCTAAAAACAGTCCCAAACTTTTATCTTCAAACATGCCAAAGTTGCTATTTCTACCAAAAACCATTTCCGAAATTTGGAAGGTCGGATTAACTGACCAAAAATATAATCTGTACTAAGTTCCAGCTTTCTATCTTCAAAATTACGAGAGTTGGGTCATTTCCGATCGTTCAGTTATATGGCAGCTATAGGGTATAGTCGGCCGATCGATATGAAATTTGGTAGGTCGGATTAACTGACCAAAAATAGAATCTGTACTAAGATTTTGTGTGTATGTTCCAGTCATGAAGTTTCTCTCACTGTACAATAAGTCAACTGAACACCAAAACACTGTATAGTGAGTTGACTACGGCACACCAATTTACCTGTACTCATTAACAGCTGTACAACTATGGAATGAGTGAGAAAACTGTCAAATAAAACAAAAAATACTACACTACTCATTCACACCCAAATATACTGTGCTAAAAAAAGAGTGTGGCCACTTTTGGAATAAAAGGGTGCAAAAGAAAGTGGGTGTGTGCACAGTTTTAAAGGGTTATATACAGTTGTACCGCGCAAAATAATGAAATTTGATCGATTTTTTTTGACACTATAGAAAATATTTATTAAAAATGTTTTACCGACGTTGTAGGTATAGTACATGTTTCTGGGTACTTATTTAAATTTTTTTCATAAAAAAATATTAAATAATAATTATGTTATAGCCGAATTCCAAGATCGTCTTTTTTCGATGGTGTCTTGCGGTGGACATCATATCCCAAGAACGGTTCATCCGAAATCAAAAATTCAAAAATATTTCGATACTATATTGTATTGCCTAGTCCGTGAACAAATAAAAAAAATTTATAAAAATTTGGATTTAAAAAAAAAATGGCGACGGTTTTAACAAAAAATGTACTTTTTCAAGGTGTAAGATTTTCGATTTATATCAGAGGTCAACACGGCCCTATCTCGGGGGCATAGGAAATTTCTCTGCCCGAGCCCTGCCACACACACAGTATACATGTGTGATACGTCATGCTCACAGCCTACTTTCTGCTATTCGTTACTAACACTAATGCGGTAAAATCACATCAATGTATTGGGGTGCCGACCACTGATTTATATGCTCTAAAAAAAGAGTTTTAAAAAAAAATTGAAAATTCTTCGCTCACGGACTAGCTAATATCATAATAAACAAGTCGTCAAATTGGATTGATCGGATTAATAGTTTTTTAGTAATCGTGTCCACCGCAAAGGTAATTTCGAAAAATCAAGATTCTGAGATAATCGCGTTTAAAGTTTCAAGTTTGTTCAAGTTTTATGTGCAGGTAGTGCGCTGTAAATAGCTACAACATCGTTCCGATCATTATGAATTTTTGTGAGAGTATTCTCAACAGTATATACTTAAAGAATATGCAATAAAAAAAAAATTGATTTTACATCTATTACAACTGTATATAACCCCTTAAGTCGCTAGCTTTAAAAACGAAAATAAAATATTCGCTATGGAATTCAAACGTAATAGTGTAATTGCATTTTACTTAGCTGGAAAGGCACAACCAGAGATTGTTCGTGAGCTTAAACAGATTAATGGGAATAAAGTTTTCGTTTATCGCAGCATAACCCGTTAAAATGATATTGGTAGCATCGCAAAACGCCATGGAGTTGATCGTTAGACATGGGTAATCATCGTTCTTTTTAGGGAATAAGATCGTTCGTTCTTATTTTTAGGACTGAACTAGGTCGTTCTTTTTGTTATTTTCGTTAATTCAAACAATATTAAAAAATTTATATTTAAAAAATTTAAAAATTTCCATATTTTACTGTGTTTTCTTTTAAGATACATTTCGCTGTTGTCCACTCAAAAGTTTGTTTACACAATATTTTCAGTTACAGGAATACATAATAAGAGTGTAAGAAAAATTACCAGGGGTTGCGAAAAAATACCAGGGTATGTAAAAAATTATTAGGGAATAAGAACAAGGAACAAAGATCAAAGAACAAAGACCAAAGAACAAGAACAAAGACCAAAGAACAATAACAAATACCAAGGAACAATGACCGATAAACGATGTAAACTAGTTCAGATCGGTCTTTTGAGTGACCGGGTCTTTTTTGTGTGTTCGTTCAGGAACAACCCAACTCTAGTGATGGTCAAAAAACTCCAACGTCACTTGAGTTGGTTCAAAAAGTGAAGAAGCGACTTGAGCGAAATCCCTGACGATGTGCCAATCAAATGGCGAAAGAACTAAAAATATCTAACCCTATCATCCGCCGCATAGTAAAAAATGATCCCGAGGAATCCTTATAAGATCATAAAAGATCATGATCTTACACCGAAGCAACAACAAGTTAGACCTAAGAGAGCAAAGAAGTTGCTTCGCTTGGCCGCAACTGGACAATTTCCGAACATTGTGTTTTCTGAAGAGAAAATTTTTCCAATTGAGCGATTCGTAAACACCCAGGGTTTCACTGACGACCGTTTGTACGATAAATTGAGGCAGCGATTGGCAACCAGGAGCCACCACCAACCACAGGTAATGGTTTGGGCCGCTGTAACCCAAGGTAGGCGCTCTTCAATCGTTTTTAGCGAGCCTTATCAGAAAAGTATTCTGAAGGTTGCCTCGAAGCCGTGGCCAGACAAACATTTCGGTGGCAGTCCATGGACATTTCAACAGGACTCAAAACCGTCTCATAAAGACCGAGTGAACCAAGAATGGCTGGAAAACAATGTACAATAACGTACACACAATGGCCCTCGAATTCACCTGATGCGAATCCGCGGGATTATTCTCTTTGGGTCATTTTGGAGAGCAAGGTCCGAACTAAATAACACAACAGTCTCGAGGGCCAAAATACCCGCAAGTTACATTCGGGCAGCTTGCGATTCGTTCTTCGACCGTCTCAAGGCTATGGTCAAGGCAAAAGGTGGTCACATCGAGGAAAAATGAATTTTCATTAAATTTTAGATTGATTTTACACGTACTGAGCTGTGAATTAAATAAAATTAACTTTCCAAACATAATTTATAACCTTTTACATTGTTTACACTTCAAGTTCCGGACCCTGTACAAAAAAAAAAGAAAAATATTCTTAAAAAATATTTTTTTCTGACTATTTATTTATTTATTTATTTATTTATTTCGCCAACGGACAAATCCTTACATGGCTACAAATTAAAAACTTACAACCAATAAATAATACTAACAAAAACTTAATAAATGCCTGATTAATTTGCGTTTTAACACACCCTTATCAGAGCCCCACTCAATTCGGAGGCTAGGCGGCAAAGAATTAGCTCTTAAGTTATTAGTAATTTGAATTTAAAACTTTTTTGTAGAACAAAAAATGTTAATGCAAATGAACATGCTAATTTTTTCGGAAAAAAACACAAACAGATTGAAAGACAAGACAACATTTTTTCAGTGATCAGTGATTTAGTGATCCTTTATGTAAAATTTTATAATGCCGACTCTACCCTAAAGCTGCATATTTTTGTGATAGAAGGTTTGGGGGTATAAAGATTCCATTTTTCCTGAATAAACTGAGAATATCCTATAACTAAAAGATGTAGGAAAAATGTTGCAAATACCGAACTATATTATTTGCGGTATGTTTTATGTGTTTTTTCTATATAAAATGCCTTTTAATAGAAATAGTATATTACCGTTCCTTGGTAGCTTTTCTTGTTCCAATTCAATTAAAAATACTAAAAAATAATTCATACATTTTCAGCTTTCGGATTGATAACACAGATCACATAATCGACGTAAATAAAGGCAATCTCGCTTTTGAGTTTGATCAGGTGCATATTATATGTCCAGTATACGAACCAGGGACGTTTGACAACGAAACAGAAAAATATATCATTTACAATGTATCTAAAGTGGAGTACGAAACTTGTCGCATAACAAATGCAGATCCGCGAGTAATAGCAATATGTGATAAACCTCAAAAACTAATGTTTTTTACTATTACTTTCCGGCCATTTACACCGCAGCCAGGTGGATTGGAATTCTTACCTGGAAATGACTATTACTTTATTTGTGAGTGTGTTCAATTTGTAGTTATTATCTTATTTAATTGAAATTGTCCTTTTTTTATTTAGCAACTTCATCCAAGGACGACCTTTACCGTCGAATTGGTGGTCGTTGTTCCACAAATAATATGAAAGTTGTATTCAAAGTGTGCTGTGCCACTGAAGAAAAAAACAAAACTTCAACGACCAGCAAAACAGTTGTTACCACTAACAGTGCCAATGTTGCTCCCAATGATGTTGGTCATAATAATTTGTATGGAAAAAGTATGGGTCAAGGGAATAATATTGGTATAAGTGGTGTAAGCAGTGGCATAGTGCCTCCTCCTTCTATATATCCTCCTAATGGCAACAGCGATGTTAATATTAATGGTATTGGAACTAGTATTAATACAAATCTTGATAAGTTTAATAGAATTCCGATTCAACCAAATATAATTGGTAATAATATTGGCACGAGCTCTGATGGGGCAGCTAATGTCGTAAGTAATGGAGGAGTTTTGTCTGCACATGGTCATGGCAGCATCAACATGCTGCAACCAGGACGTGGTGGGATAAACACACCTTATCCAGGACATCATCACATTCAAACTGGCATCCGGATAAATAATGTTCCCACTCATCATAATTATCCGACCCACAAAGGAAATCCCAGCAGCAATTCGAATGGTAAGTATTTATTATATTTTTATACCCTTGCAGAGGGTATTATAATTTTGTCCAAAAGTGTAAAGTAAAGTATAGTAAAGTATAAATCAACTTTCGTATTTTTGAAGGTAGAAGTTTGGGACTTTTTTTTTTTAGATTTTATATTATAACTAGCGACCCCGACAACTGTCTCGACCCAGCGCCCAAGTTTCATTCATAATCATAATCATAATTTTCAGTCATTGTAGTTGGTGTTAATATTTGATTTATTGAAAAAAAAAACAAACATTTCAGTAGTAAGTACTCCCTCCTTTGTTAGTAATAACTTCATATATCCAGTACAGGGATATAATAATACATGGAATCTATGTTTTTCAACGAAATCTTGCTCCAAGCACGTTTAATAGCTGAAGTTAATGTTTCCTTATTTTCGTATTGCTTTCCTTCTTCATATACCTTCCGCGTTAGTTAGCCCCAAACATTTTTAATCACGTTAAGATCTAGAGAATATGGTGTATCTAGGAAATCAGACTCCAACAATGTTTTAAAGAGATCGCTGTTCATCTTCTGATCGATACAAATCAAGTCAATTGTTTCATAAAACGTAATGGCACCCCACTGTGCTGGCGACTTGAATATATCTCATCTTTTCGGAAATCGTGATAATAATATTGAAAGCCATTGGGCCCATATAAATTAAAACGTCTTTCATCAGTAAAAACAACGTAATGAATTCTTTCGCGAATTGAAGCCGTTTTTCTTTGCATGTTGCATTCAGAGAAGATTTTTTCTTGATTTTTAGACGCTTTAGGTGGTCTGCATTTCTGATTATACGCTGAACAGTTGAAAGGCTTGATTTTACTCCGGCAAATTCCTTAATCTTAGCTGCGGACTTAGCCGAATTTGATGCAATTCTACCATTTTGCGTACTGCTTTTTCAGATAACGATCTTTTTTTTTTTCTTTCAAGTTTTTTCCATATTTATCTGGATCTTTTAAATATCTTTTAACAGTCTTGGATTTATCTGCGATTTATCTTTTTGGCAACGTTTCGATTGAACAGTCCTTGCGAGTGAAAAAAATCTACATTTTGACGTTTTAATAAGCTAATAACACCAGCTTTTCCCATTTTCCCTTTAAATATTACTCTTAAACAATGTATTTGTTTCTTTTTAATATTTTATCAATACAAAAAACTGCACTGGTTTACGCAAGACCAAGGAATCTAAAGTGCGTCTATTTCAATGACCAACCGCAAATACGCGGGATTGCCAAATAATTTTCTGAAATCTTCGAATGTACAGATATTTTTTCGCAAATCAACCAACTGTGAGCACATATTTTTTGAACAAGATTCAAACTCTGATAAGAAAAGCTTTTTGGACAATTAGAATAAGCATTATTATAAATACACAAAGCATATTATTTAAAAAAAAAAAAAAGCCTCTAAGCTATGAACAGCAATAGTTTATATATCTATTTATTATATCCAGAATTATTAAAATGTTATTGACTGAAGCATTTAGAAAAAAATAATGCTAACTGTCAAAAAATAAGAAAAATGAAAAAAATTTCTGCTGAGGCGCATATGACTCGAACATAAAACACAAAATTTTAGAGCCAGCGGTTTTACACTTAGACCACAATTCGTTTTGTTTGTAATGCGATAAATACGATTCCTATTGTCCTCCTGTCCAACGCACTACCACTTTGGATGTTAGTGACGAATTTTTCAATTGGGTAATATTTTAACTTATGCTAGATATCATAGTAACAGGAGAAAGAAATGGAGTTAAGGATAGTGAACGATATGTTTGATAATTTTCTCTGGCGTCTTTTGCAATGTTTCATTATACCCTTGCAGAGGGTATTATAATTTTGGTCAAAAGTGTTCAACGCAGTGAAGGAGACCCTATAAAGTATATATATTCTTGATCAGGATCACCTCCTGAGTTGATATGAGCATGTCCGTCTGTCCGTCTGTCTGTCTGTTTTACGCGAACTAGTCTCTCAGTTTTAAAGCTATCGTCTTGAAACTTTGCACACACTTTTCTTTCCTTTGCACGCAGTATATAAGTCGGAACGGCCCGGATCGGCCGACTATATCCTATAGCTGCCATATAACTGATTGATCGGAAATGGTATAACTTTGGTGTTTTTAGAGTTAGAGAGTTCAAATATGACACAAGAGCTATTTTTGGGAAAATATTGGTCGACTATATACTATAGCTGCCATATAACTGAACGATCGAAAATGACCCAACTTTCGTGTTTTTGAAGATAGAACTTAGTACAGATTCTATTTTTGATCAATTGATCCAACCTACCAAATTTCATTAGGATCGGCCGACTATATCCTATAGCTGCCATATATCTGAACGATCGGAAATGGTTTTTGGTAGAAATACCAACTTTGGTATTGTTAAAGATAGAAGTTTGGGACTTCAACAAAATGTTGTAAATTTTGTATTATAATAAATTGGGTTATATTATCATACTAGCGACCCCGGCAAACGTTGTTCTGGCCTTTTTTGTTTTCTATAAGGGCTAGCTGTTTTTTATTCATTTATTTTGGTTAATAAATGTTTTTCAGTATTTCAAGTACATCAGTATTTTCACGTACAACAAAATTCCCCTCGCCAATATCTAACAGTTGTTTAGAGAAAGGATGGATCCTGAAGCATTTGATCGCGCATATTCTTGGTCAGTTCTTTTTCAACATTACGCCACAGTTGCGATGATTTTAAGCAAGCATTGAATCCTTATATCCCTAAATGACCAATCCAATTCCCCAAGCGAATTTTTACGTCCTATAGTGCATTCATCCAAAATATGGGCACTATGCCCATAGACGATTGTTTTTATGTTGCACACTGCATCTGGATTATTTTGAATGTTCAATGACAGCTTAAGTGCTGAATGAGCTGTTATGCCTCCATCTAATAAGGTTGCTGCAACGCCAGAAGATGCAATGGCCAATGCGTTGCCATTTTTTTTTTATCGTAACTCGGCAGGAAGAAGCGAAATAAGGAACGTTCACTTTGGAACTTTCACTTTGAATGTTCACAATAATCACTTTGGAATAAGCAGAATTTTCAACATCAGGCTCTTACTGGAATGCTAGCCGAAGAAATTGCCCAGATGTGAATCCTCGATAAACTTGTTGCCGTTGTTAGTTAATTCTTCTTCTAACTATTAATCTGTGCGCTTCTCTTCTCATAAGAAGTTCAACTCAAAAAATATAAAGAGTTCGATGAGCACTGTGCTTCCGTTTTTTCGCTTCATTTTTTTTTTCTTTTTTTCTAAGCAAATACTTATTGCCTTAAGTGCAATTACAGTGCCGCAGTCGTTGTCCGTTGACATGTTGATAGTTTGAAAATTAATCGAAAAATGATGTTCGCACGAATGTTGTTTCTAGTTAGTGAGGAAAATAAAATTCAAGTAGGCAAGCAGGTTGACGAACATGCTCGCCTGTGGATGGGCCCCTTTAACGTAGATGTGTTAAGATCGATTGTAATTTGTTTCACTCTGCACACCACCCGCCATAGGAGCACTTTTTTATGAGATGTCCCATCTAGGTACTGTATATTGAACTTAATAAAATTCATTAGTAATTCATTCATTACTAATGCGCTAAAAGTAAGTCGTACAACAAACGGAATTGAATCCTAGAGTCCACTATTAGGAGATTGTGTGAGGTTCGTGTGTGAGGTTCGTTCGTGATTAGGCAGCTAGATCAAAGTGTTAAAAGAAAATCAGATCAAAGTACCGGTTCGCGAAAATGTCAAAGTACATATGTCAGAAATTCGTGGAAAATTGCATAACCTGATGGTGAGTTTTGAAAATTAAATAAAAACCATAGTGGAGAACCGGAAATTGGGTCAAATTGGGTCGAACCAGGGCCCTCAAAAGAGAGGAGAGACGTGCAAAGGCAGCTTCCTCTAAAGCGGGGCTAGCCATGTTAGCTAGAAAGGCACTTTGAGAGCTCTACACGAAGAAACTAGAAAGATCCTAGGGGAAATCTCCAACAAGGGAGATTTTAACAACAGGGAAGACCTGGACGCCGTGGTGGGTCCGCTAACGGTAGCATCCGCCAGGGCATTCAATAGGGCCTGTCCCCAAAGTAGATCTGGCACGTTAAAGAAACCACCATGGTGGTCGCAACCACTTGCGCCCTTTAAAATTAAGGCCCGAAAAGCCTTTTACTTCGGTAGTAAAGCAAACACAGAAGTAGTTTGGGAGGCGTATAAAGCGGGCATCAAGAAGTGCAACAAACAAATGCCTAGGGCAAAGAGGAATGCCTGTACCAGGACCAGTGTTCTCAGAAGAAAAAAAAATCCAAGAAATGCAGAGCCGCGATACAGCTCCCCCATGCCGAACCAACTCGAATACCTCCTAAGTAAAAGGAATCTCAGTTGGGCGATAAACAGTTTCAAACCCTTTAAATCTCCAGATGCTCAGATGGCATCTTCCCGGCCCAACTAACCAAAGCCGGGTCCGATCTGCGGTTATGGATTAGGAAAATATTCACAGCAATCTTCAGAACAGGTATCGTGTTGAAGTTGCAAGTCGTTGCCTATATACTTTATAGGGTCCCAGAAGTCTTCTTCACTGCGTAACACACTTTTATCCAAAACTTATACGTCAAAAGTATAAGTATAAACGTCATAAGTGTGCAGACATAAAACATTTCACACACCCTTTTTTCAAAATTCGTGTGTGCGGGCTGGTGTTCAAGACGATTTGTTCGCCCAGTTTTTTGGAAAGGAAAGCTAACTCCGGCGGAATCGAAGTTGATATACCCTTACAGTTAAAACCGGATATATATCGCAAACAAAAAACACAAAAGTTATACCATTTCCGATCAATCAGTTATATGGCAGCTATAGGATATAGTCGGCCGATCCCGGCCGTTCCGACTTATATACTGCGTGCAAAGGAAAGAAGGGTGTGTGCAAAGTTTCAAGTCGTTAGCTTTAAAACTGAGAGACTAGTTTGCGTAGAAACAGACAGACGGACAGA